TTTGATTGTATCCATAATTAAAATTGATGACGGAAATAACAGATGATGAAGAGAAAAACTCTTTGCGATAAATGAAGAAAGTTGTTTGTTACCTTTTCTTGTTCAGATTTTTAACTCGATGGTGAATTAGAAAACAAATAAAATATAAAACATGGCAGTGATACACTTGGGTTTAATCTCTTATCTGTCTTCATTCTAGGGATGGGTCACAATTTTCGAATTTCATTTTATTTTTGAAAAATCGATTTTTTAATGCAACTACTATTCGCCGTCTTATTTCCCCCCTTCATTTGACATGCAATTCAGCTCCTAACCGCATGAGGGCAGTATAGGATTGCTACAGTGATGTGAGATGGGCTACCAGCTAGTTTGATGCTCTTCTACAAACAGGAGAAACATGCAGAGACTACTACAGTCATCAAAAAGTTCCGTGTAGAACAACTTCGACAAAATAAACGAAAATGAGGTGCAGTGCAAACTCTGTGAGGCAAAGCTTGCGTATCACAAGTCTACAACAAGTATGCACAGTCATTTGAGAGCGAGGCACACAGGAGGCGGCGATGGACCGTAACGCCAGGGCCACACCGCCCACGGAAGCGCTGCGAATAGCCTCGAAGCGGCGAGAAGTGAGGCCAGTTTCCTTTCGGTGCCCATGTTAACCGATTGTGTTATCCACACCGGCAGTGCCGCGCAGCTCTGTGGCTGCCTCGCGCCCTGCAGCGATCGTTTCAGTGTCTGGTCTATTTTCTGCGCGAGCCGCGAGCGAATGTGTCAAGCCTGGTGACGGAGACAACAGCTGGGAGCAGAACCGCTTGTCGACTGGCATGGAGAAATGCCCTTATGATGTGAACCGATGTGCTCCAGCTCGGGCGAGAATTTCAGTGCGCTGCGCTTTGCAGCACTTCCACGGGTGGTGTGGCCCTGGCATAATGATGAATGGATCTCTGTGTGCGTGGCCCGGGGGGGTGGGATGATTATTCGAAAAATTGTCTAATAGTTGCTGTGATTTTCGAATAGTGTTCGAATAGCGCTGTCCAATCAATAACTGATATCCAATCAGGGGGTGTGTCGGTTGGTAAAAGACTTCTGCGAAGGCTGCACTCGTGTATCCTAGCTTCTATCCCCTCTGAAAGCCTGCTCTCTCCTCGACTCCTCGACTCTTTCAAGCGCATTTAACGAATTGAGACATCCTACAAGATGGCGAGTCTTGATCGATTTCCGGGTCAAGTGATCGAGGACAGAGGACGGAGGAGTCGAGGAGGAATATAGGGATGAACCTCTACTCTCTTGGTCCCATTGGTAAGTTCGTCTTGATGAGGTGGGTGAGATTTGCAAGAGCTTGAGTTCATCCCAATACCGAATCTCGCATCCATGTTTCCCTCACTTGCGTATCTTCCTCGTGTCTTAGCTCCGCCCTCGCAGGATAAGGGGGAGAGATGCGAGGATGAGACGGGAGGAGAGATGAAATGAGGAAATAACTGCTATCCAATCAGGGGGGTGTGTCGGTCAAAGACTTCCGCGAAGGCTGCACTTGTGTATCGCTTCCCTCTCCTCTGAAAGCCTCCTCTCTCCTCAACTCCTCGAAGTGCAATTAGCGTATTGAGACGTCCTACAAGATGGCGAGTCTCGATCGATTTCCGGGTTAAGTGATCGAGGATAGAGGACGGAGGAGTCAAGGAGGGATATTGGGATGAACCCCTAGTCATTCAGGTTGTTCGAGATGAACTGTGGCTCGCCTGGAAAGTAGACGAGAGCAGGCAGCTGCAGCAGGGGGATGTGACAAAAAGTTGCTGTCAGGTTGGACAGTTTTCAGACAGTTTCCAGCAGCCTTCAGTCCATACAGGAAGTCACAGAAACACTTACATCATGTCCGATATGATGTCAGTTTATTATATCATCAGACTTATATACAAGTTTGTTCTCAGTCTCCAGTTGTCTTAATTATGATAGATTCATTTATTAAAATGCTTTACAGGTGATCTGTAATTTATGTTCATGGTTCAACCTCCATTTTACATGAATTCTGCTGTCAATCAGCATCATATCAGTTTGCTGCTGCAGAGGCTAAATAAATTGTGTCTGACTGCAAGAATAATATTTTCAGAGGAAAAAAATACAAGCCAACAGCTTTCATTACAAATCAGTCAGATATTTTTATATTTTAAGAATACTCACATCCCACTGACCACAAGTCTCTGTGATGATAAATACTTCAATAATTAAAACAGTCCAATGTTAATATCTACAGTAGACTATGTAGGCCTATAGTTTATAATGAATGTATTTAGTCTCTGACCAAATAACTTGTTCACAGAATAAACCTTCAAATCAGACAAATAAAATTTAAATATCTGAAATTCAACAAAAATTAGAAGTTTCTCTAAAACATCATATTGTTGAGTCGACATCTAAACCAATCAGCTGTTAGATCAGGTGAGAGCCAGGCGGTGCAGTTGGTGGAGAGCAACTGCAGCGCCTGGCTCATTTTTATCGCCGTCCACTTTTGTAATATGTCAGAGCAAGTCGAGATGAAGTCGGACACAAAACCAACCGGAAGGGACCGGTCCAAGATGGCGGCGTGAGAGGACGATTTTTGTCGAGCTCTCAGCACAAAACTTTAATATAAACTCTATTTAACGTAGTTGATGAAGTAAAGTTGATATATACGCCAGAGTCAACATTTCCTGACCTTACTATGAAATGATATAATATGACACCTCGCACCACTGAAGATGCCTAAATCTGGTAGAAGTGATGCTAGCTAAGAGAGCGGAAGCAACGTTAACACTTTTGCTAGCAACCATGACTACAGTGACGGGGTTGAATGCACTATGCATGTTCCGGATGATTAAGAATTCCCGCTGCTGCCTATCACTCCAAGTAAGCCTCCGCTTGCCAAGAAACCTGCTTTTTCTAAAACCCACAGTATAGACAATGCTCTGGCATCCAATTATGCTGTCCTCACACTAGCCAACTTGATTAATTCAAGACGTGACGCGTTTGAGAAAATGATGAACGCCGTTTGTACCGAGATAAAAGTGATGAATGAAAAGATGATCCTAATTGAAAAACAGGTGGAAAAAAGTGAAGAAACTGCTCAGAAATGCATGGCTCGCGTGGCTGATTTGGTGGAATTTGCGACTTCAAGGGTTACTAGAAACAGAAAAAGAAAACGTGCGAGCTGAAGTCATCAGTGTTTGCCAAAATGTGCTACCATCTGAGAAAGAGAAACTGCCAGACACCATAGATGTGGCTCACCGGGTGGGGAGATGACACCAAGACGACGGTGTCATCATCAGGTTCATCTTCCGGCGACACAAGGAGGAGCTGTGGAAAGCTGCCAAGAACAGCGCCTTCTATCTATAGAGAATATACTCTTAAACTGGTTAACCAAGTTTCCAAAAGCCACCTTACTGTTAGGAGGTGACTTTAATATTGATAGCACCATGGAAAAATGGCCTTCTGATTTTTTGAATAGAACAAATACTAACCTGATTGCATTTATGGATAAGTTCAACCTTGAAGACATCTGGAGAATAAAAAATCCCAACAATAGAACATTTACCTGGAGTAACAAAGCAGGGTCAAGTCAATCAAGACTTGACTTTTGGTTGATTTCCAAATGTTTTAACAAAGATAATATTGAGGTGGACATACACCCCACTCCTCTTACAGACCATAAAGTTATATATATATCAAGATAAATTTATCCGCGGGAGCGTATCTATGTTTCCCGGGTTATATGTTCATGATTGATTATTAATTTTATTTATGAGTCAAATAATGCAGCCACATTCTTAAAATGTAAAAGCATTTCTGCAAATGCATTTTAATTTAAATATTGGTCACCATTCGCTTCCATACCTCATCAGATGATCATTGATAATTCCTGACTGTGTTCGCTTAATTTTTTGCTCCTCTCCAGTTTGTCGAGGTCGACTGATGTTACACAAACACACCTGGTGCACAGAAGAGTCCTGGCTTTCCTTTTCCTCGTCTGCTCCTGATGACCACTCATAATTTAATTCAAATGTAATTTTGGGGAAAATAACCATCTTCTTGGTGTAACGCTAGTGTCAGTTTGCATCACTGTAGCAAGTGTGACAGCTGGTTAATTAACGGTTGTGTTTATATTTATAACACCGGAGTGATTTTACTGTTACAAGTCCCAGTGATGTTATACTCTATATCAGCACTCACGGAATGCTTCTCATCCAATCAAATTACTCAGTCAGGAACTAACTGTTGTATAATTAAGTTTATGTCTTAGTCAAACAGAACACTTAAAATCAACACTATTTTACCACATTTTGTAATTTATAGACTACTTAAGTAGCCAAACATACCTCATACGTCACATCAAAGTGTAGTGTGTGGCATATCCGATGTACATGAGTTATTACCTCATTGTTTTGAGTTAGTATCCCTCAATGATGTTATCCATCGTGACTGAGAGATGAAGAGTATGGACTGTCGAAGGCCGTAACTGTCTACTCATTCACCTCATTATTGGACTTTGTATGTCATTATTTTGACTTAGTATGTCATTATCTTGACTTAGTATCTCATTGTTTAGAGATAGTATCTCATTATTTTGACTTAGTAAGTCATTATTTTGACTTAGTAATATTATCTCATTATTTTTGACTTAGTATCTCATTATTTTGAGATAGTATCTAATTATTTTGATTTAGTATCTCATTATTTTGAGTTAGTAGCCTAAGTCATTATTTTGACTTAGTATCTCATCATCATCATTATCCTTTGTAAGCCATCAAGTTTGCGATGACTGTTGCTGTTCATACTCAAAATAAAGTTTGGGGGAAAAGAAACAAACAAACACAAAACTAGTCTCGCCACCAGACAATGAGAGATCTCCGGCTTCTGCTTTAGTTAAGCAAAGCGTCTAAAGACTGACTTGCGAGTCTAACACAAAACTAACCGACATGCATTGTGCGCCGATCGCCGGTGATCGAATCTGCGCAGGCCTGGCTCATCTCGAACGACCCTATTCCTTTATTTGGTCTTGCGGCGCCTGGCGATTCATCATTGACCTACAACTAAACTGAACATAGCATCCTGGGCTGTCACAATTATCAAACGCCTGGTCTTACCATATGCAGATAAAATATCGTTGCGCGTGTTTAACATAAGCAGGAATTCATATTTTAATAAACTGTCAATGAGAGATGGGTCGTTCCTGGCGATTATTTTCAAAAATACATTCAGCTGTGTTTGTTGTCTTGAACACACCCCAATAATGGCTGCACAGGAGCCGTCTCCACCATCTTCCCTGGAAGGGAACAAACCGGGCTTCCCAAAGAAAATTTTGGCCAACAACCTAGAAGACAAGCATTTCTGCAATGCGTGCCAGAAAGTTTTGAGGAGACCGTTACAAGCTCAGTGTGGTCACCGCTTTTGTTACTTCTGTTTCAACAAAATTGTGAGGTGAGTAGTGTCATGGTTGATAGCAAGCTAACTAGCTGTGCAACGTTAGCCCATATGAGCAATCAGGGCTCGTCACCAGCCCCCCTTCAAATATCTTTCAGCTCAAGGCTGCCCTGCTTATGGTTACAGGTAATGCAGTACGACTACGAAAACAAGTAACGATATATAGATTGCAAAAGTCCACTGCAAAATTCGGCGTACAGGTAATTCACCAGTCACCACGAGATCCCAGTTAAATCTCAACTTCTACTGCGGGTTGGCCAGGTGTCCTAGTATAGTCCCGCTATCCTCTGTTGTAGCTGGCCCAAGCAAGCAGTGAAATGTCGAAAAGCTGAACTTCACGGTGTATTATATTAAAGTATTATCTAGTTGATATGCATGCCGAGTTTACCTGAAGGTCCGGCAACTGTTAAACCTTTACAGTAGCTTGTTTTCAACTCCGTGTATAACGTTATCTTTTTAGAAAAGCGAGCCAACACTAAACTGGGCATTTTCTCATCAGAGTTTAGGATGACCTTTACCCATATGGTGGATAACGTGACCTGACAAGGGTCTATCCAGTCCCTGCTCACGCGTACTTTTCAATAGTTTCTCTACATTAGAACGACAGCAATAGGAACAGGAATGCGACTGATTTTCTTTCGCTTTTAAATCGTGACAAACACACGAAACGTCTTACATATTGCTATTATAATTCGTTTTGAATTAACGGTGCTGCGAGGCGACAGGTTGGTTGTGATATCACTGAGATCATTTTTTATTCTTACAGTGCGTATGTGTGTCTTTTTTCATTTTCAGATTTAGGTGCATTTTAGATCAGTTATTGGTGTTGCAAAAGCCGCCAAGAGTGATGTTTGCTGCTGCCAGAGCTAGACATGTCCTGTCTGCAATCATTGGGAAGCACATGCCCTTATTCAGAAACATCTCTGCATAATTGCTCTGAAATCACAGTTTATTGATCATCCCTATCAGTGTAGTTGTCTAGGTGATTACAGGGAATACATATGCAAATGAAATAAATAAGTCAACATAACTTAGTATGTATAGCCAAGAAATCAGACTTTCTAAGTGGAAATCCAGTTGTGTTGACTCTTTTGTCCCCACCTCCCTTACAGAAACCTGATTTTGTGTTTACATTGTTGTAAAATCTATAAAATCTAAAAACTAAAGGAAGTCTTGCATTATGCCCTTTCTCTTATGTAGAGAGCAAAATCTGTTGAAATCTAGAAATTAATAATGTTAGTTTATATCATGTTTACATAGTTCATATGCCTCAGTATTTGTTTAGGTAATATCATTTCCACAACTAAATGACAGAAAATGTGGCACCAGATTTTATATTACATAGGCCCTCAGCTGCATCTAACAGCCTTTGTCAGCAAGTGGAGTGGTGATGGGTTTTGGTCTGGTGTTCCCTTGAAAGACTAGTGGATCATCTCTTGAGCTGTAGTTTAAGCTCAGACAAAACCATCATTATCACTGATCCCATGGTCAAGAGTGAACTTGACAGACTTAAACAGCATTTTGGGAGTACTGATGATAAGCATCTATATTGTCTGACACATGGCAAATGATAGTTTGATATTGGCACAGTATCTATACTAATGTTATATTTGTTTTTTCTCTCTTCAAGTTCTGGACCACAGAAATGTAGTGCTTGCATTAAAGAAGACTTATTTGAGGAACCCACCTCCATTCTAAAGCAAGGAGGCGTAAGTACATTTTTTCACCCCTACATTGCATCACAGTTACATTAACTACTGCATTAGTATGCATTTAGGTTCAGACAGTAGTTTGTTAATGTAATTGTAAATGTAAGTCAGAGTAGAGTTTGGCCTGGTTTGGTATCTATGGGTTGCAAGTGTTAAGAGCCAAAGTGGTTCTATATGTATAAAACCCTGTATTGTTAGCACTGTAAAATTGTAGTCATTGTTTGCATTCAGATCCAATGTATCGGAGTACAGAGCCAACACAACATCTTTTTATACATCTTTTGATTACTGTATAATTCACGGCAGCATAGATGATAGATGGAGCAACTGTAGTTCTGTGTCCTGAGAATGACCATATGTCGCAGAGACATTAGAGCCAGGAGAGAGAAGTATTGCGATGCTTAGTAAAGTGAGTGTTTGTAACACTACTGTTCAGACTGTAACTGTATACACAAAGCGATAACAACCTCTGCTCTCCATGCAGGCTTTCCCTGACAATGCAGCTCGGCGAGAAGTGGAGGCCTTGGCAGCTGTCTGTCCCAATGAAGGATGCACGTGGATGGGAACCATTAAAGAATTTGAGGTGCGTACTAATGCAAAGCAGGCTGGAAAATGAACACCTGCTCCCAGTCAAATCTTCATTTAATTTTGACTGTGGCTGGCAGAGTTGTCTGCTCTACTAGCCACGTTCTAGGACCTCTGCCCCTTCAGAGCCCTGCACAGTATTATTAATAATCTCTCTCTCTTAATAGTCTCTTTCTCTGATCACATGTTGGTTGAAGTTCTGCATATACAAAATGACTCTGGCACAGTGATGAGTCACATTATTGGTCAAAAAGTTCAAGCCATAAGCTAGTTTTCTGTGGAACGCAGAAGGGCTCTAAATAGGGTTGGGTACCGAAACTCGGTACTTTTTGTACTCGGTACCGATTCACGTCGGTACTACCGAGTATCGATTCACTTAAAATGAAACGGTGCCAAATTTCGGTACCTGAGGTGGAGGCGGAGCAAGAGCGCATGACTCACACCGCAGACTCAGCAACAGTGGCGACAAAAACAATGTGCAGACAAAAGTTAACGTGCAGCACTGTTCCTAAATGTTCTCAATAAAATGTTGAAACTGAGAAGTTTAGACTATGGGCCCGAATGACGCATAGTGCGTCCAAATTCACACCCGTTCTTCTCTGTGGATTTTCTCCGCGACCGTGCGTCATAGCGAGAAACCATGCATATCAGCGGAAACAGCAGAATTATAGCTTTCCGACAAGGCCAAGCACTTGTCTGTAATCCAATGTTTTCACAGCGAAAAATTACAATAAAATGATGTATAACAGAGCTTTCATACAGCTTTGCACACACATTACTCTTGGATGGATTACTCGCGAACGCAGGCTCGCACAGAAATGCCACGCACCTCACATGAAAGCGCAGGACCACACACATCATTGTACTGTCATCCCATCACGCTCTAAATACAGATCAATTGTCTACAAAATAAAAACTTGGCGAATTTCTTTACAATCCATTATACAGATCTTGTTATCAGTCACTTCATATAGTGAGAAATATCGTATCTTACCACGTCTTAGGCTTGCGTGTGTTTCTCCCTGTTTATCCACATTTGTAGTCCAGCTTTCAAGATGCAAATATCTCCATATTGTCCAGTTGACACTCCATCAAACTTTGTATGACAAGACCAGCCACTTCACCTTTGCGCACCCAGACAACTGCAGCCTAATGCATGCTGACAGGGCCGTAGTCACCATATACATTGAGGGGGACACGTGCCCCCCCACCAATGCCCAAAATGTCTCCCCAATATATAACTGAAACTGAAAAACAAATATTATTTTGGAGGACATCATTGCACTTGGCTGACTATTTTTCTATTATCTTAAATGTAAATATTGCATGTTTCTTTCAGATAAAACACATTTTTGACTTGTGAATGAGTCAATGGAATTTCTTGCAATAATAAAAAAACACTGGCAATCATGTCCGCCTGGCACAAACCACATGTTTTGGACAACTGTGAAGTGACAGAATGTCCCAGCATCATGGTTCTTATATTGCCAGATTCCAGAGAGTCTCCCCTCTTCATATATGGCAGAATGTGTCTTCTTCCAACTTGCTATGGTGAGATACATGTAAAAATGTAAGAATTTAGGCACACAGATTTGTTTTTTTTCATTGATATAAAAATTAATATAAAATACAGGCACATAGAAGAACATGAAATGATGGCAAATCTGGTTAGCCCAGATTGTCCTGGAAAAAAAACAAGATATAGCATGTGTATGTAGTCTTTATAATGACTGTGATATGAGCTTAAAAGTAAAGGCAGTAAAAATACCCCCAAAAAAGGCCTAGGGCCCATAGGGTTAAAAAGTATCGAAATAAGGTACCGTTTGGTACCAGTACCGGATTGCAGATACCGGTACCGGTACCGTATCGGTTCAATTATGAACGGAACCCAACCCTAGCTCTAAAACTCTATTTTGATGTTTGTATTGATAAGTCAAACTTGTTCATCTTAACAGATAAAAATATAACATCTTTACATGTAAAATGCGAGTTTAGATGACAGAAAATGCCCTGTTAACACTACATTCTGATGTCTTTCCACGTTTAATATTGGATGCAACTATTTCACGAGTTTTGGAGGGGAAACCAATGAAGTAGTATTCGGTATACATTGTATTCGCATAAGTGTCCACTAGACATCACTAGAACTTAATCAGTTTAGTGTACATTGTGCGTAGTCATCTATTCTGAGTGTATTACTGATTTGCCTTCATTCTTTCGTACATATAAAATTAATACCTAAAGTTATTTGTTTTACTACTACTGTATATTATAGATATTATATTATTATATTGTATTGGTAGAACTCTAATTTTAACAATTTTTTAACAAGTCAGCAGTGATAAAAATGTGTAAACTATGTCATTAAGGCAGACAAGCGGAGCATTAGCTGGTATACATCATGTTTATTCCATTTACATAGAGTTAAAATTAATGAAGAATTACAAAAAATGTTTGCCTCATGCGTTACTGTCTGTTTATAAGTTGTAAGAAGTCATAAGTCCACTTGGTTCTGCGCATTCTTCGCTCCACTGTGCTCCACTTCATCATAAATTTTATCCCGCTCCACTCCGCTCAAAAAAACTGCATCGTACTACCCTAACCTGTAATCTTCTATTCACAAATAAAACATGAGCTTGGTAGATTCTCTGGGGAAGCCCTCTCCCCTCTCCCCGCAGTTAGGGACCGTTCTACACGGTACCGCTGTCGGTTGGGTGGAAATAAGTGTAGAAGAGAAGGACCAGGTTAAGCGGCCGACCTCCAGGGAAGCCCTCTCGCCTCTCCCCACAGTTAGGGACCGTTCTCCAAGGTACCGCTGCTTCTCTTCTCAGTTTCTTTTCTGAAGTACACAGTAAACTCCATAGTTTTGAAAGAAAATAGTGTGGGTGTGCGCAGGTGCAAAGATGCATTCTGGGGTGGGGCATGAGCGACCGGAGCGAAATTGGAGTGAGAGATAAGGCTCCGCTCCACCTTTTTTTTTTAAAAAAAAAGCCGCTCCTTGCTCAACACAAAATCCTTCCGCTCCCTGCTCCAGCTCCGCTCCGCTCACATGCTCTGCATGTAATGCGTTAGTACCCAAAATAAACAGATTTTTGTTTTCATTCATCCAAGCCACTCCACTTCTGCCAGTGCGCCACCAGGAAAGTGTCCCACGAAGGTTGTTGTGTTTACTATGTGTTTCCATTCACATCCCCCTACAACTGCAGAGCAATGCAGGCACACAGTCCTGTTCTTATGCATAACTCTGTCTCTGGTGCTTTTGTAGCTTACCAGCACAGGAACCGACAGGTGGGTCTTCCAGCTCCAGTGTATTAATTTGTGCTCGTCATTGTGACTGACTCACACGTCAATCCATTTGTTGTGCTAGCTTCAGCATTTGTCCATAGTGTTTCATATGATAGGCCCACAAATATTTATCCATATTTCATAATTTGTCAGACTTTGATCCCCTGCCTGACTCTTCCAGTGTCCAAGGCTACTGGTTTATTTTAAAAGGTCTAGGCTATTAACATGTTCTATATCATCACACTAATATTGATATAACCAGGGGATTTTAATAGCCCACAAAGTGGTTACCATGGTATGTTAATGCTTGAATGGGTCAGACCTGCGCAGCACTGAATTTGAAATGAACTATAATAAACTGGAGCTTCCGTGTGTTGATAACCTGCTGTGATAACCTGCTTTGTTTGTTTATAATGCATAGTCGTTCTTCTCGGATCATTTTGGTGAAAGTAATGCAAAAGTAGTGATAAGTAATAAGTAACACATTGCTCTACACAAAGAGTAATATTGTACAGTCACTCGTTACTTTTAAATGAAAGTAACATTAATATGTAAAGTATTATATGTGTGTGTGTGTGTGTGTATTTATATATATGCAACAGGTCATACTTATGATGAAAACAGTCACAATCTGTCTCCTATAATATCCTGCATATCATCATATCTTAAAGGTCTTTTAGCACATTTTACTGTGTTGTCCTTGAACTCAACAATAATCTTTGACCTTTCTCATTAATGCCAAACGAAGCTCATGCATGAAATCAAATGCAGATTGGCTTAAAAATAGCCACTCTCTGATGTATTGATCGGGGCAGTATTGATCACACTCTAATGATTTTCCTCCCCAGTCTGACCTTTGACAGTTGCGCGGGACCGTCTGCATGGTTTCCATGGATCACCAAGGAGAGGAGTCTTATTATGGGCTGTCTCTGATTGATTTTCTCGCTCCCAGTTGTTGTTCTTTCTAATGATTTCCCTCCCAGAAGGTGCATCATCCAGGTCCTTCATGTTCTTCTGAGGTGTTATTGTGTGATTAACACAGTCTCAAACAACATACAGGCTCAGTGGTGATAGAAAAAACATAAGTGCACTCCTGTTCTTATATCTACTGCAAAACACACATAGAAATCAAACAGACTTACCTTCTGGTTGCACTGCAGGTGTTATATGTCCATTCATGTGTACATGTAGGTGTGCTGGTACCACCACTGACCTCTGTTAAGGTATTAGCACAGAAGTGATGGAGCGGTCACGGTTGACAGGGTAGCTAATATTAACTCTTTAAAAGAACATGTGCCCTTGCTTGATTGCAGAACGGAAACATTTTCATGCTACTCTGCTGTCTGATAGATTTTTGGTAATAATAACCACAATGATACAGAACATAATTGATTCTAGTGTAGTATATTTCCTATAAATGTGAACATGAACAGCTGGTACTAGTGGTGATCATAATGTTCATATCTGTTTGTGTTGTCAAACTACTATTTTCAAGGTCAAGAGGGTTTTACAATAATATTTGAATAGTATTTTTTATTAGCTGCAATTACAGGGTGCTTTGCAGAAAGATATAACAATGCGGGAGATATTAAATAAAGGTCAGGAAAGAATTGATATAGATAAAGATCCATGTCAGTTGGAGATATGTCTACACAAACCATAGAACAGTAAAGGTTTGTTTTACAGCAGTAAAATGTGCAGTCAAACATTGTT